ACTTGCAAAGCCATCGCTTAGCCTCCGCGTATACATTGACATCAGTACACAATCGTGTCAAAAATACAGGGCCACACGGGGCTTTATCTAAGCGCGTGTGAGAGCTGGAGTGATTCACAATTGGATCTGACCTCTGTGTGCGGTGGTTGTTTTTGGGGGGGAGGAGGAGTTGGTTGGGTTTTTGCATCTCTCACGCTCTCCGGAAGGCCCAGCCTAGGGGAGAGGCTGCCTTGTTTATATTTCCATTCGTGTTGGGCAGGGGGGATAGACTGGTGGGGAGTGGGGCATCACCCGCTCCTCCCGCTCCCTCTTCTGTTTGGCTGCTAGGGTTCCGTATGATCACGTCGCTTTCTTCTTTCCAGCGGCGGGTGGAGCAAAAGAGAGCACCCCCGCCCCACTGTGCCATCTCTGGCTGTCCTGGGATAAGGGAAGACTAAGCGTAAGTAAGATCCTGCATTGAAAATTAGGGCTACGTCTAGACTAGCATGATTTTCCGGAAATGCTTTTAACGGAAAACTTTTCCATTAAAAGCGTTTTTGGAAAAGAGCATCTAGATTGGCAGGACGCTTTTCTGCAAAAGCACTTTTTGCAGAAAAGCGGCCGTGGCCAATCTAGACGCACTTTTCCGCAAAAAAGCCCCGATCGCCATTTTCACAATCCAGGCTTTTTTGTGGAAAAGAAATCTCTGCTGTCTACACTGGCCCTTTTGCACAAAAGTCTTTCGGAAAAAGACTTTTGCCCGAACAGGAGCAGCATAGTATTTCCGCAAAAAGCACTGATTTCTTAAAGTAGGAAGTCAGTGCTTTTGCAGAAATTCAAGCGGCCAGTGTAGATAGCTGGCAAGTTTTTCCGGAAAAGCAGCTGATTTTCCAGAAAAAATGGCCAGCCTAGACACACCCTGGCTGTTTCGTGGGTGCCGGGTTGAAAAGTGGAACTGAACATGGGAGAAAGTTGTTGTACTGATATTTTTTTTTAAATAGCTTTGTTCCATCAGTCTGAGCTACAGGCAGCACTAAGCAACGTCCTCATTCTTTTGAGAGGTTGCACTGTTCTCTGCTGCCATATTCATCATCATTGCCCTATTGCTTCCCTCACTGTATCTGCAGTTAGCTCCAGGTTTGATATAGTAGCACTTCCTTAGGATCATACCAATAAGCAAGTTTCACCTGTAGCACATTCCTATAAAATAGGAGCTTTTGACATTTCACTGGCACCAGAAGCAGCAGGGTAGCTGCAGAGTGCCATAGCCGGGAGCACAATCTGGCTGCTGTGGAGCTCAGACCAGTCCCACCAGGCTGTACTCCTGGCTCCACAGCCATCCTGCCTCTTCCCTCAAGCACATCCTTCCCCCAGGCCTCACTTGGTTAATGCCAGCCCCTCTGCTGCCACTAAAGAAGAGCCTAGCACCCAAGGGCAGCAGAGGAACTGACACAGACTTCTGCTCTGGGCAAGTTTCCTGGCTCAGGATCAATCAGGTACCAAAGGAGTCAGACCAGAGAGGTTCAATTTATAGACATCAGTACCCTAGGCTTGGATAGATGACCTAACTTCTAATCTTCTCTCTGCTGTTAGGCTGCCAGGTGACTTTAGAAGTCACTTCACTTCTCTGTGCCTCGGTTTTCCTTTGTCAAAAATGATAGACATCCTCAGTACAAAGTGCTTTGAGGTCTACTGCTGAACAGCAGTATGACAAACTAGGTATTATTAGTATTATTACTACTGGAGTGTGTGGAGCATATTGTTGAAGTATCCATGAAATAATGAAAAAGAATTGGTAAGACAAATACTAAGGGAGGAGATGCATTACATTTAGGGATTGCTCTCACACAGTAGAAAAGTCTCAGAGTGATAGCCATGAGTCTCTAAGGTGCCACAGGACTTCTCACATAGCAACTAATTGTGCATCAGGAAGTGTACCCATTAGCGAACAGTTGTTTACTGAGTGAGTAGCACTTGGTGAAGGTGCCTAAGATTTTTCTCTTTATGAGAGCTAGCCATCAAAACTTTACCATCATGATCCTGATGTCTGTTGCAGGATAAGTAAGGAGGAGTCCTATAGCACCTGTTGCAGGATAGAGGAAGCAATATCTCTCAGGCTCCCCCCAGGAAGCCTCTGGAGAAAAAGGTGGTGGCATATAGCGCCATCTTTCCTTTTTCAGCTTTAGAGTAAGCATCAGCTTCCTCAATTTGTCCCACTATCTATTGGAAGCTCTTTTGCTACTCCCTACTTTCCCTAGCATGCTACATGTAGCGGCATTGGATGTGACATATGCTTTCAAAACCAGAAATGCTGAGGACACTATCCATCATTGCTTAAGAAAACAACAAGAAAAACACAAAACAAAACCAACAGATGGAAGATTTCAACTGGGGATAGGCAGAAAAACCCTCACTTTGTTTAGTGGAAAAGTGCTCCAAAGCAACAGTAAGTTATGACATTACAAATCTTGGTGTGGTCACATTCTTTTCATGGTTGTTATTACCTAACAATGATTGGCTTATTCAAAATTGATGCACATCTTCCAGTTCCCCAGCCAGTATAATATTGTAATCTTTAGAACAGTTAAACTCTAAAGCATGTGTGACTATATGCATACAGTTTGAAACACTATTTATATTTAATGAGTCCAGAAGAGCAAGGGCCTATACACTGGCCCATATCTCTCTAAAATGTACATATTAGTTAAATTTGATGGAGGTTGCTGAACTTGGGTGGTGTATATGCAGAACAGACATGGGAAGGTAAGCTCAGTCAGTTTATGCTATAATTGTGATGGGTACCCAGGACCAAGTAGCTCTGAGTACTCCAAAACTCTGTGAAAGTCTTACTTGTGCTTAACAGGGTATCAGCTTCCTATAGAACCAGCCTGTTAGCCACACAAGCACTCTCCTTTGAGCTATCCCAGTCCTTACTTTGTCTTGCAGCGTGCACCTGCATCCCTTTGAAGCCTTCCCCTGTAGCAACCAGTGCCTTCGCCACTGAACACTAAGGCTACGTCTACACTGGCACCCTTTTCCAGAAATGCTTAAAACGGAACAGTTTTCCGTTAAAAGTATTTCCGGAAAAAGCATGTCTACATTGGCAGGATGCTTTTCCGGAAAAGCACTTTTTCCAGAAAAGCGTCCGTGCCAATGTAGACGCGCTTTTCTGCAAAAAAGCCCCGATCGTCATTTTCACTGTCTACACTGGCCCTTTTCTGGAACAGTTTTCTGGAAAAGGACTTTTGCCCGAACGGGAGCAGCATAGTTTTTCCGGAAAAGCACAGATGATTTTACAGTAGATTGTCAGTGCTTTTCCGGAAATTCAAGGGGCCAGTGTAGACAGCTGGCAAGTTATTCCGGAAAAGCAGTTGATTTTCCGGAATAAGTGGCCAGTGTAGATACAGCCTAAGGGTATGTCTACACTACAGGTTTTTGTTGACAGAGGCTGTGTCGACAGATACTGTCGACAAAGCTTCTGTTGACAAAGAGTGTCTAGACTACATCCAGTTCTGTCGACAAAGTAAGCCGCTTTGTCGACATGGCAGTGTAGACGCAAAGGACAGTTTAGATGCAATAATGCCTTCTATTGAACTCTGTCAATAAAAGGTGTTATTCCTCGTAGAATGAGGTTTACCGCCATCGACAAAACTGCCGAGTTCTGTCGACGTTATGTTGACAGAACATGGTGGTAGTGTAGATGCAGGTATAGTTTTGTCGACAAAACCCTGTAGTCTAGACACACCCTTACAGGAAAACTCACTTTTTGGCAATTTAGCTCTTAGAATCTATTTAGCTTATGAAAGTGAAACTTCTAGGGGTGACTTGATTACAGTTTATAAGTAACTATGAATTTATTAAGCTTAATATATTTATTTGTTCCTTGCAGACTGGAAATAAGGCAAATAATTTTGACAGGGTAATTAATCCTAATTTACTCAGGGATGTGGTGAGATTTCTATCACTAGCATTTTGTTTTCCAATCAAGATTGGATATTTTTCTAAAAGGTATGCTGAGTTAGTTCTAGTTCAAACAGAAATTAAGTCCTTCCACCAATGCAAAATCAGCAGGTCATCACATTTTTTAGCTCAGGCCCCCTTTGTAAATCTTGTGGCCGGTTAGGACTGAGAGGGCCCCCAAAATCTAATGCATCCCTCTCTAGTGAGGATCTAGCCAGGGTTCAAAGCTAGGATTCCAGATGCTTTCTGAATAGCTTGGGAACACCTGCATCAGAACTGTGGGAGGAACAGTGGGCCAAGACCACCCCACCCCCAAAATACTCACCTCATGAAGGGCAAAGGTAAGGGGGAGGTCGGGAGACTAGAGACAAAGTGGAGAAATCAGGGTGCACTGATGGAGCTGGGGAGTCTGGGGGAAGGACATGGAGGCAGAGGAGTCCAGGGAGACACTAGCTCTGCTAGACACTAAAAATCATGGACTTAAAGACGCTATTTTTATAGCTCAGTACAACACACTGTACTGCTTGTTGTTAACCCTCCATTGTGATTTTTCATTGCCTATTCAATTTTAAGTGCTCTCTTATAACATGTGTAAACCCTTATAATTAACAATGTTCCATCTTGCATTTAGATCGGACACTGTGGTTACCTTTTCTAGACCACAGGAAGAGCACTGCAAAGTTCAAAAGCTTATCCCTTCCACCAACAGCAGTTGGTCCAATAAAATATTACCTCACCTTTCTCGTTCTCGTGGCTTTTCCCATTGTGTTTAGGGTTACAAGCATGCGTGTGTATTAAAATGGCTTATGAAACAATCTCTTATTCATGCCATTATCTTTTCCAAGAATGGGTAACGTCTTGCAGGGTTACACTTCAAGACCCCTCGAAGATTCAGTTAACGTAGAAGGCCATCATTTAACTTTTTACACAAGACACACACTGAATCAACTCATGCATAAGAGAAGATAATCAAGTTAGACAAGATAAACTGAAAAAAAAAAAAAAAACCAAGCAGTTTTTCCATAATTTAGTTTTCTACTCAATTTTATGTGAAAAAAAAAAAATCAGACTATTTCTCCCTTCATTTTAAAAAAAAACAACACCACTTTACAGGAAAGTTTACTAACACGCAATGTTTAATTGATAAGATGATCTAAACTCTGATCATGAAAACCACCACACAATTCAGTTAAACAAAACTGTTTAGCTTTCTTCCCCCCCATGGCAAAAAATATTCTTCATATCACAGAACATTATAACATTTGAAATACTGTAACAATGCAATGTTCAAGTTTTTTCCAAACTTTTCAACTGTAAACATTAAAGAGAATGAAATTCTTTAGGGTAATACAAAAGGGTAATAACTGGATAATGACCACTGTGCCAAAATCATTTGAAAATAATCTAGACAGATAATGGAATGAAATTAAATACAAGCTTCATGAAAAAAAATCTATTAGGGTAAAAACGATTTCCCAGGCAAGTGATACCTGCTATTTAAGACATTTAAAGTTAGAGCAGACAATGTTCTAGAACAATGATCTATAGAGAATAATACTGCAATGGCAAGGAAATTTACTGTAACTCATCTTTGCCTTTTGTGATTCTGTACCTTTTGTAGGGTATAGAACACTTGCTCCTTAATAATTAAATGCCTAACCAGAAAATGTAATTTTGTAGCTAATGAGATGGAACGAGTATAAGAGATGACCGATCTGGTATGCATGAAACATTTCTGAACTTAAAAAAACCACTAACTAATTTTTATCAAAAATACCAGTTGGACTGAAAATGTTTCTTAATCAAGGTGAACAAATGTAATATCAAGTGTATCTATGTATAGTGTTATAAAAATCCTTCATATAGTTTAATTATTTAAAATATTTTTTTATAAAAAATTAAGAATATTGCACTGGAAATAGAAGTTAACAGATTTACATCTATAAAATCAAATATTAAAAAGCTCTGAGCATCTTTCCTCTTTTGTTCCTTATTTACAGCTGCAAATTCATAATTGTCCATGTATTGTGAAATATGTGAAAACTTCAGCTTGGTCATTTGACTTCAAGTTTCTAGGAAGAAGAAATAGTCACAAGGAGAGAGAATGATTTCCTCTATGTTCTTTCTTACATCCTACAGTTCATCAAGCTGTGTGAATGGCCCGTCACAGGAAAGGGATCCAAAGCTTTCTCTACATTCTTCCAGTTGCGAAAATTGTCTCTGTACCATTCAACTAGCATAAACGAGAAGGTTGAATTAAGATATATATATAAAATTCAACAGAGAAACAGATAAGCAGGAGTATGTCTACACCTTTTCTAGATACCACAGGGAAGCTAACACTAGATATACATAATTTGCATTCTTTGAAATGTATAGGTAATAATATTTGGAATCTTTAACGAAGCCCTTAAACCAAGAGACTCTGATATGGTACAGTAATGTCTACTTTATTTTTGCCCCTGCAAAAAGTTATACTAAAAATGGCAAAGTGACTTAGTATTTTTTTAAAAATAATACTAACAGATACATAAGCTATTTAAAAAGGAATCAGTTCTAACTGGCTAGTTTGAAAGAGTAAGTTCAACAGCATTCTAACTTTAGCTACTCAATTTTCAAAACCAAAATATTCACTACGTCTTTACACACAAATAACATTCCCCCAAGATAGCTATAGATATTAAATGTAGCATACTTGTTTTCTTTATTCCTTCCTTCCATGGAACTTTAGGTCTCCATCCTAAATTGTGCATTTTTTCTGAATTCATTGGATATCTTAGGTCATTGATAGGTCTGAAAAACAAATACAAAAATAAAGTTTAAAGGAAAACACAGTTAAAGCACGTATACTATTTCTGAAAACATTCAGTGTGCAGACTCTGCTCTTCAGTTCGGTCAAGCACTTGGGTGTTTTTAAGTTAAAAAAATATTTTCCCCATTCACACAAGTCTTCAAAACATTTCTATCATGCATGTAATCATGCACAAAACTCATGTTCAGCTGCTCAGGGGGAAAAATAAGGCATTTGGGCCTCACGGTAATTTAAATCTCACTGTGCTAGCATGTCTGTCTCTGTCTCTCTCTTCCCCACCCCCCCAACCCATCTGGCCCTGTACGGAGGAGCTACCAGAGACTTCAGCTGACAGGGCCAGAAGCAGCCAAAGGTGGGACCTTTGGACACTGTACATTTTTGACTGGACTGTCTTTGTCCTGTGCTGGTTTGTTGTTTGATCCTGTACTCCCCCTCCTGAAGTCTTCTCACCTCAGTTTCACGCCACATCTGTCCTATTACCCTTTTTTTCCTATCTTGTCTTTCTCCTTTAATTGATTCCCTCCCTTTTCTTTCCATTTAAAATGATTCCCGCCTAATTTTTAACCAGCCCTCCACACCTCCAAGAGAGTTATGGAACTAACTTGATCATAGAAATGCAAGTGCAGAAGGAACCTCAAGAGTTCAACAGTCCATTTACTAGAGCTGAAGCAAGAGATTAAATGAATCTCTGAGGGTATGTCAACACAGCCACCCTAGTTCGAACTAGAGTGGCTAATGCAGGCATTCAAACTTGCAAATGAAGCCCGGGATTTAAATAGTTCGAACTACCTGCCCGCGGCTACACGCAGCACGGACTAGGTAGTTTGAATTAAAGCTCCTAATTCGAACAACCGTTATTCCTCCTGCAAGGAGGTTTAACGGTAGTTCAAATTAGGAGCTTTAATTCGAACTACCTAGTCCGTGCCGCGTGTAGCCGCGGGCAGGTAGTTCAAACTACGGGGCATTTAAAAATGGCGGCGCCCAGGAACATGCAAATGAAGCCCAGGATATTTAAATCCCGGGCTTCATTTGCAAGTTCGAATGCCTACATTAGCCACCCTAGTTCGAACTAGGATGGTAGTGTAGACATACCAAGATCCATTGATGAAAAGTGAGTGGGGAGAATCCAACTTATGTATTTCACCTTTTATCTAAAGTTCTGCTTACCTGAGGAAAAAAGATATTGCATCTCTACATCTAGGAACTCAGGCACCTAGGCAATATGCCATACCTACGTTCCAGAAACTGACAAAAGATGTAGATGCTGCTGAACTAATGCTGAACCCAGTTTTGCTGCCAGTGGAAACAAAGACAATGTTCAGCACTGTCCCAGTAACCGCAGTGCTTCCTGTCACACAAACAAGACTTGTGTCTGTTAATCTCGTCAACCAAGAATCTTTCAGATTTAAACAAAATGAAATATAAAGTGTCTTGTGCTATATTTTAAGATGTTATACTACTGCCACAAAAATTATTTTCCAAGATATAGCCTGCAGGGTTAGTCTTTCCAATTTCCCGTCTTTATCTTTGTTCATGGCAAGAGAGGCAGAGTTCATATTTTATAGAAAACTTAGTTTTCATAGAACAATGTCCTATTTTTCTTCAAACACTTCAGGGCTCATATGTTCCCATCTCTAAAGTTTATCTGTTTCTCAATCTTATCAGGAATACAAGGACAGTGTTTGTATTTTATGTTCTAGGAATTATTATGGGGAAATTCTATGGCTTGTGTTATATAGGCCACACTAGATGATCATGATGGTCTCCTCTGGCCTTGAACACATCAATGATAATACACAGCCAAAGGGGCTTCATTTGGCCGCCCCTGATGCTTTTATGCAGCCAAGGTAATTATACTCAGAGGGTATGTCTACACTACCACCCTAGTTCGAACTAGGGTGGTTAATGTAGGCAACCGAAGTTGCAAATGAAGCCCGGGATTTAAATATCCCGGGCTTCATTTGCATCTTGCTGGGCGCCACTATTTTTAAAGCCCCGGTAGTTCGGACTCCATGCCCGCGGCTACACGCGGCACGGAGTAGGTAGTTCGGATTAGGCTCTCTAATCCGAACTACCAGTACACCTCGTGGGCACGGAGTCCGAACTACCGGGGCTTTAAAAATGGCGGCGCCCAGCAAGATGCAAATGAAGCCCGGGATATTTAAATCCCGGGCTTCATTTGCAACTTCGGTTGCCTACATTAACCACCCAAGTTCGAACTAGGGTGGTAGTGTAGAAATACCCAGAGTGTCCAGAATATAAGCTTTATTTTTTTTCAAGTTAATAATTTTAAAGTCCTCCTGGCTGCCAAGATATTCTGTTCATATTGGGAAGACTAACTAATAGTTAAAGATAAGATTCTATCATGGTGTTCCTGGATTCTGTTAAAGAAACAGGCAACCCAGGAGCGGATGGGGTAAACGGAACTGCTTTATTGCCCCCGCACGTTAACCTCAAACCCCCAACACATTGTTCCGAGTGGCAAGGATACTCCCTAGCTCTCATTGGGAGGTTTGCACCTGCACCTGCACCCTCCTATCCCTGTGCTGAGCTTGCTGGCTTCTGCCCCCTACCCCCTTCCCCCCTCGCTGAATGGTCCCTTTCCATGGACACAGGCTTACTCTACTAATTTAACAAGGAGAGTGGTATTTTTAACTAGCCCCCATTCTTAGAAATTTCAAATGTTCTACGTCTGCGTACCTCTCTTTGAAGAGAAGGGATGAGAGAAAAAGAAATTTTGCTTCAAAGAGGGGCAGAGGGGGTAAAAGAAGCAGAAGGAGAAGGAAGGGGATGAGAGCTTGCTTTAAGACATCTGCTTGATCCTTCAGGGCCAGATTCTTTGACTTAAGATGATTAAAAATCGTTCATGCGGTTTTGAGCCATCCTGGCTGCCAACACACTAATGATTAACAGTGTGCTGCTCCTCAGCAATCTGCTGCAGAGTTTCTACTTTAGTTCTAAGGTTAGTGACTTCCTCCCACAAATGTGACAGACCCTCATACAGAGCCTGAATCAGCACAACCCTGGAAACTCCTGGATGGCAGACCAATCATGACCACTCCCGGAAGGATCCACATAAGGACTCCCTCCCATTTTCTCACCAACTTGTTAATAAAATCCCTAACTGTTGTTGCAGTAAAGAGCCCGTCACACTTACCCATGCGATCCATCAAGACGTGATGATCAGGCATGACTCTCCCCTGGGATCCTGTTTGTGACGCCAGAGGTTAGAGAAGAAACAGACAACCCAACAGCAGATGGGGTAAACGGAATTGCTTTATTGGCCATACAAGATAACCTCTGACCCCCACCGCAACATTCTGAGTGGCCTGTTTCTTCTCTAACAGATTCTATGACTTTCCAGGACCTCCATGACTTTTTTGGGTCAAGGCTGAAGCAGAGGCCAAAAGTGGCAGCTTGTCTTAGCTTCATCTCCCTGGAGCAACAGAGGCCAGTCCCTGCTGCAGGACCACTGGGGTCGGAGCAGCTGCAAGTCCCCAGCAGCACCTCCACCAATGAATTGTTCTTCCTGCCCCCAAAGTATTTTTACTAAAAAGTCAGGGACAGGTCAGTCTTCCATGAATTTTTGTTCATTGCCCATGGTCTGTCCCTAGCTTTTATTAAAAATACCCGTGATAGAATCTTAACCTTACTGATAAATCTTTCTGAGCCTGTTGATCACCAAAACGACGACTCAGATGTGTGACCTCTCCTGCACCATATTAACCACACTGGGGAGTGTCAATTCTACAGCTTATTGATGACATGTTAATGGTGATATTAACTTTTGCATTACTAATCATTTCACAATAGAGAATTGGGTGAAAATGAAGTATACAAGAAGGTGGGAAACTTGAAGGAAGGAAATGCAAATGGAGAACAGAGAGGACACACAAAAACAGAAAGATAAACAAAGGGCAGACATCAGAGTGATACAAGTTGAACCGTCTTGGTCCAGCATCCTGGGGACCTGAGCGGTCCCAAAGAAGGGATTTTGCCGGACCAGGGGAGATCATTTCTACCCCCCTGCAATTAGCCCCTCAGCCCAGCTATGCTCCTGGTCTGGCCTCCCAGAGGGCTTCCCACCTGCCAGCAGCCCTGCCACAGCAGCCCATGCTCCCGCAGCTTGGGCTTTCAGTTTCACCGCGGCAAACCACTGCCCCACCACTGGTGCTCCCAGACCTGCCACAGCAGCACCGGCCCTGCCAACCCAAAGTCCCACTGCTGGGACTCCCCCTCAACCCTACCCTCTCTTCCCCCCCATAGCAGACTGCTACTTAGCAGCCAGGGTTCCCAACCCTAACAGCCTGACCGGGGCAGCACCGACTCTATTGCCTGGGCTCCTGGCTCAACCAGCCCTGCTGCAGCAGCCCCATGGTCCCGCTGATGGGGCTCCTGGCCCCACCACAGCAGACCACTGTCCCACCAAAGCTTGCTGGCATTCCGGCTGCCCTGCCACCAGCTCAGCTGGACTCCTGCAGCAGGGATGCCAGCCACTGGCTCACTGCAGCCAGCCTGGCAGGGTTCCAGGCCCCGCACAGGACTCCTGCCTCTGGCCCTCCACCAAGTGTCTCTGGTCCAGCAACAGCCATGGTCCTGCTGGACCAGGGAGGTCCCAGATGACAGAGGTTCAACCTGTAGTAAAGGTCCTGAGTGATGGTGAATGCCACAAGGTACTGAACAAACTAAGATAATTTAGTTTTTACATAAAGGCTATTCTACATTTTATATTTGTGCAAATCTACTTACTGATGGTAGGCATTCCTCTATGGAATAAGTGGAAGAAGTACTGCTGAATACCAACACACACACTGGTCTAGGACTAGAAATGGAATATGCCCTCTGTCAGCGTGAGACTGATATTACTGATATATGCAGGAACACACTAGTATCATAAAAGGATATAATCAGAACTTAGTTTTGTGCTTTCTTTGTGCCACTGCAAACCAAAAAAGATGGAATGCATCTTTAAGATAAAAATCTCCTAATAGACGCTCAGCCAATTCCTCACCTGTCTTTAACGTAATCCACCCAATATTCCATTTCAGATTCTGAACTGGTCTTTTTTATCTGTCAAGAAGAAACAAATAAATCATTTTCTATATCATGAACCTGGTTACAAGACAGAATTAAATCAACATTAAAGTTCAAATTTAAACACTGGATTATAAAACCCACCATTTTTTATGTATTTTTAGTTTAAATGTTATGAGTTGTGGTTGGCAAAGCTGTTACAAGGTAATTAGTTTTGACTATTTATAGTGGCAACTCGATATTTAACTGGATTTTTGTATAATTTTAAATTATATCAAGTGTTCACTTTTGGCAATTCCACATTCCCTGACCGATATACAATATCAAGAAATAGCTGCCAACTGATGACTGGTCATTAGTCTGTATTAAAAGCAGGTGGTGAGATCTCAATGCTGACTCCTTTAAAAAAAGTATTTGCTTCAGTGACACACAAATAATAATTAATACCCTGTTTCTTATACAGCATTTTTCATCAGTACCTCCCAAAATACTATATAGTCTTTACACCATCCATTTTACAGATGAAGGCCTGAACCATCCAGAGGGTAAGTGACATGCTCATGGGTCACACGGGAAGTTTATAGCAGAGCAGGGAATTGATCCCAGGTCTTCCAAAATCTAGGAAGATTGCATTTATATGGAGACTGAAATACCCTCAAACTTGCACACAATTTCTTCCTAGTCAGGATCTAGGACTAACAAAATACTGTAGTGGGATATAGCTTGCACAGCTGTTTTGTGTACTATACTTGTGCTTCCTGCTTTGTGGATCCAAGGCACTTCTGTCTCTAAGGGATTGCTGAACTTCATCTTTCTCACCCTTTGAACATTAAACTCACATAAGCCCCAAGTAATTCAAATCCTCTGCAGTTCAACTGCAGATGTACGATCATAAATAAGAAAAGAAAACCCAAATACACAATGGTACACATTGTTTACTTACTAGATGGATTAGTTCTTTAGCAAGCTGTAAAATGGACATTTCAAAACTGGATCCAATGTTATAAATTTCACCTGGCTTCCCCTTCTTTAGAATTGTAAGGAATGCTTCTACTACATCAGTGGTGTAAATAAAATTCCTTCTTTGAAGCCCAGAACCATGAATGCAGCTAAACAAAGAAGAGAGAGATATTGTGTGGTATAACTTTACACAGAAGTATCCATTTATTCTGTTAACATACTGGTGTGTGTTAAGTGGATACAACTATTAAAAATTACTTGAAAGAAGTTTGTTTCAGTTAATTTTAAAATAGCCTTTTTTGGTTCCTGACTGCAATGCAACTAAAATGCAAGTAAATCATGGGCATACTCAGATTACTATTTTTAAAAAATGTTAATTTATGAAGAATACTGCATTTATTACAACTATAATTAAGGTTTTTCCATCACATACTCCCTGCCACAACATATTTAAAATGTTTTTTAAATGTAGAAAACTCGAGTTACGTACCATTTTCTATTTTGATGCAACAAAGATATAAACTTTGGAATAACCTAAACAGAAGAAAAAATACAGTATATTCATTTTCTGAAAACCTGAAGCTCTTCAGGAGACATACAAAATGAAATCCTGGCCTCACTGAAGCCAATGAACCCAGAATTTCACGCATAAAGAATATTTATTTAAAAACAAAGCGACACAATCAAAAAGTTAGTGAGAAAAACTGACATAATATATCGGTTTGAATGTTAGAAAACCATTTAGAATAGCTTTAAAGAGCATTTGTGAGCATGCATGCCTTCCAACATTCATCCTAACAACCAAGTTAAAAGCTCCTTGGGCATGAAAGTCACAGGCATATTTATTTTCTTGTTCAACGTGAACATTTTTATAGAGAGCTCAGCACTCTGTTCAAATGATTTAACTCAAGACAGGAAAAAAGACCGCTATGATTCTGTGAAACAAGCCCGCTATGATTCTGTGAAACAAGCCAGCTTAATAGCAGATATACAAAACAGGGAAATAGGATTTGTGATCTTCTATTCTAAAAGCACAGGCATCTGTCACTGAAGATCTCGGGATCAATAGTTTTAAATCCTACCCTCTTTAGGGAACCACTTTGGCCCTGATCGTATGAACACAGCATATACTTAACTTTATGCATATGAGCCTCAGAGATATCAATGGGGTTAATTAAGTGCATAAAGTTAAGCACATGTGAAAGCATTTGCAGGAACAAAACAAACGGAGTTAAACACTTGCGGAAGTATGATCCTACTGTAAAGGACAGTCATACCCAAACATCCTCACATAGGCAAAAAAAATTACTCAAACATCCGGGAGCATGAGTTAAAATCTGGTGGCCTGGTATCTACCAACTAATCCATGGCTACAAACAAGCTACAGTTGCCAGCTAAACACCACAAATGTGGCACAAAGAAAGATCTTGAGATACTAATTTTTGAGCAAGAATTCCAGGCTGCCTTAAAATACATAAATTGGCAAATCACAGTATCCAGCTGTGGACAAGGATTTATCAAAAACACAAAGCTTCCCACAAAACTTTGAAATGGTTGTTCCAGGTGTTATTTTGTTTCTAACTACAGAAAGCTATACATTTTAGTTTATTTTGACTCTTCATTAATCAGTCCATTCAGCCCCTAAATGTTTGTTAACCTCCAGCTGATTTAAATCCCCCCCCCCCCCCCCAGAAGTTCAGAGAGGCACAACCTCACCAAATAGTACACATGTGCCTTTGCAACATACCACATTTCATCAAAATATGAATTAACTTGCATTGCCATTTTCCCACTATCACCCCATGTTTAGATAGTAGCAATGCAAAACACAACTCCTCCCATCCTGCATTTAATATCCATTTTGAATTATTCCTCTCTACAAGATAAACCTAGGCAAATACAACCACTAAAATTCATTTTATTTCTGACCACATTTCTGACTTTCAGATTTGTCTATTGATGCAATTCCACTCCCTTTCATGTGAGACAGATTTTTTTTTAAACTTATTGTTGCCTGCTTTTCATGTAATCAGTGGAGTTACTAATTAAGACTTGAATTAACACCAATCCCTGTGGTACTCTGATAGCCTCTGTAAATCTAGAATCACTCTTAAAAATTCTGACAGTGCTCAACAGGAATTTGAGACACTCTGCCAAATGCTTTACGTCATGAAACGTATTTTTTGTTTTCTGTTACACCCACCAACATAAGTCATCTAGGAGGGTTAGAATGGTAGGTTATTAATATCAGACTAAAACAGGTGATGATAACCGAGCATGACCAACATTGCCTGTGATACAAATTATTTTCTTTGGAAAACACTGTTAGTTTATTCTGACCCAATAGTAAAGTAATTTTTTGTTTCAGATTATAGAGTTTAGACAAACACATACATCTAACTTACTTTTTCTGGATACTGATGTGGTCCATAAACATTGCTGCTTCGTGTGATAACAACTGGAAACTTTAAAATATTAAGCAAGAGAGATATAGTATCCGTCAAGAAATGTACACCCAAACTGTCTTAGCTTTTTTCCCACTGACTCATTAATAGTAGCAATTTGCAATTTTGTAGTGCCTATGTTAAGCTCTGGAAGCACTTTATGAATAAATGAGCCTCAGGACACAGCTGCAAGTAGATAAGTGCCTCCAGTTTAGAGATGGAGAAACGGAGTCAGCAACAGAAGTTCCTGATCCCGATTCACATTTGCAGTCCCTTTTAAAGGACACTACAAACATGTATACATTAGACTCTGTAAAAAAAAAAAGCTTATATGACATATCTTATTAGAAAGTAATGTTTTATTGTCACTAATAGACACCTACTCCTGAGTTCTCCCCATGCCCAAGGCAACACACTTATGAACAGCATTCAAAGGCCCCCTCAAAATAAGATGAAGAAGGAAGCAAGACAGTTTATAATTTAAATGTTTAAGCAAACACACCCCTACTTTGGAATATATAATTTCTTTTATGTTTAGCCTTAACTTATAAACCATGGAATTCAGAGGGGTTTTTTATAGACTGGTAGAAGAAAGATGAAAATTTAGAAGTTTACCATTATGATTAAAAAAGGGACACTATGTTCACAAATATCTGCTTGTTTTGCAATGTCTTTAATAATAGGATAGGCAAGTATCCTTTTGATCTAATTTAAATAGAAATGTGAATCACATAGTAGTGTGTCCGAAATAATTTCTCTAATCAGTTTATTAAGATTTACCATGACTGAGTTTCCACATAAACATTATTAGTCCAAAGATCTCTCACATTCAAAATACCAATTTAACTGTAGTAATCATAGTAACCAAATAATCATACCAGTAAAAGAATATGATTCCTTATATGCACTATACCCCTAACAATAATACAATTATAAATAGCCCCTACATATACATGGTCCATTTTGATCAATTTCACAATCATATGATTTAAAAAATAGTAAATGTCATTATTTCAGCTGTTTAAATCTGAAATGTCAGTATTGTAATTGTAGTGATCCTGGCCCAAAAAGAAATTAGGGGTTGAGGAAGCATGCAAGGTTATTGTCAGGGGGCTGCAGTATTGCCACACATATTTCTGCATTGCTGCCTACAGAACTGGGCCCTGAGTCAGCAGCCACTACTTTCTGGCCACCCAGCTCTGAATGTAGAGGCACAGAAGTAAGGGCAGCATGGTGCGGAAGTGCTTGGCTAACAGCCGCCACCTGCCATGCGCTGGCCACACAGCTCTATATTCAACATCGAAGTAAAGGTGGCAATACCGTCGTCCCTCTATAATAACCTTATGATGCCCCTGCAATGCCATTTTGGGTCAGGTAAAGATGTAAATGGTTAACTGATAAGTCTCACCTTTGAAGGGTGAGGCTTATTGCTTGTGGTTAACTGGTAGGGGCTGGAGCAGCTCCCCACCTACCTTGACAGGTGGCTGCTCTAGCTCCACAGGGCCCACTGCAGGCAGGGACGCTCAGCTAGATAGTAAGAGAGCCCATGTCTATGGTGGGCCCACCTGGCCCCCCGCTACAGGTTACACACTGGCTCTCTGGGAGAGCCTGCAACAAAGCCTCCCCAGGAGCATGGCCGACAGCCCATGTTGGTCCTTTTCCGGGGGAGGTTGATTCGCTGCAGCCAGCAAAACCTCCTCCCCAGGAGCAGGGCTAGCAGCTTTATACTGCAGAGCCTGCAGTGAGCTAAACTGGTAGGATTTTTAGTGGCTGCATTTTTAAATGCCTTTTTACATCCCTACATTCAGGGGCCCCAATTTGAGAAATAACGGTCTCCCCTATGAAATCTGTATAGTATAAAGTATACAGAAGACCAGATTTCACTGTCAGGAGCCTTTTTTCATAGCCTTGAATTTGGTAGGGTCCTAGTTATAAGCAATAGATAAAACATAACATTCAGGCCTAAAAGGTGCTTTTCCAGCATAGCATACCAAAGGGATATGAAAACGCACTGATCAAAAATACCTAAAAACGCTGGTTATTTTATTACGTTTGTTATAAGTACATAATTACTGGTTACTGGACCTTAGAGTCAGGTGACACAGGTTGGGGCTGCACTTTCCTCTCTTCAGGGTTTACTTATCTTATTTTGCTGTATTTTCCCCCTACCTACTAGACTTTATGTCTTTCTACACTAACTTATTTAATTTACTGCATCCAAACTATCATGTTTTCTTTATTTCTAGTATTCAGCCAAACCATAAATATTTCCAGGGTTGCTACAAGTTTACCATAAAGAATCTCTCAATCTCATTTTTGGCTGCATGCGTCACACCTATCACTTATGTCAAAATCAACACTCAATTTATAATTATAATTCAGATCTAATGGGTGCTTGCACACTGTATTTACATATTGTGGTAGATTTTCCTTTGATACATATGGAAGGGACGGAACTGCAATAAACCTTTTAGCAGTAGTAGATAACGTGCAGTCCATTGGGGTTCTACAAATGGCCCACAAGACATTTTGTGTACCATTGCCCATGTGCAAGGTTGCCAGATTCTGCTGGGTTCTGTCCATATTGTTTTTTCTTGCACAGTGAGTTGTGGCTGATTATTGCACACAGTATTGACTGTAAGAGCTGTGCACTCCCTCTGCATCTAATCAAACCACTGTTACAGTTCAAATAGCACACCCTGCAAATTCTAGCTATGCAAGCACAGTTAACAAAACTACTGTAACCCGGGAGACCATCTTCGTTATGACAATTTTGCAGCCCACTGAGATAAGAAGGGCCACTCATGCAGCCCTTTCTCTAGATAAAGTTGCCCACCACTGCCTTATTGCTTCAGAAACCTACATAAGCTTACCTGATACCTTTCCCAGTAAGACTGAACAAAGCATTCTGCAGCTGCTTTAGATGAAGCATAAGGATTTGTTGGTCGTTTGGGTGAAGCTTCATCAAATTCCTGAAATAAAAAGAATGGTAACTTGCATAATACAACTGCTTTTATCTGAAAGAATACTAGAATGTTTTTAAAGCTTCATATTGAAGTTATTGTCACAATAACATTTCCACTATAATCGGGTAAAATACAACAGGTGTTTGATAATACTGAAGTGAATAATATATAATTCTGCTGAAAACAAAAGGAAATATTTAAGGCAGAGTATAAATGCCTATACTGGAAATTGACCAGAACACAAGGGCTAAACATCCTTACACTTTCAGGAAAACCTCACCTCGATGAAAGAGCTTCAAAGGATAAAGGTCTCTGTTTCCATCTTGTGTAAACCAGTATCTCTAGAGATTAGAGTTAAATGGAAATAAATGCAAAGTAGACCTCATATAGATTAATCCCTATACTAAGAAATTTGTGAGGATTAATATTCCTTTTCTCTTTCTTTGAATCAAAGAGGGATGCAGTTGTACACTGCTCCCTGCTGATTAAAAAAGAAGTTGTGAATGGGTAGCAAGCAGTAAAATTTCCCTCAACAGAGAGAAATAACAAGTAGTCTTTAAGATGCCAGAAGACTAACAGTTTTACTTGGATGTAAGCTATCGTGGGTAAAAAAGGGGACTAGAGCTGAGGAAGCACTGCTCTAGGTAATCTGTAAAAGTCATTGACAATCTACAATCTATCCTGGAAAATGATCCCTCACTCACAGACCTTGTTTAATTAGTTAATGGGTTGAACATTATGTTTAATTGGTTAACTGACTAAACGGGGTCAAGTGGGGAGGCCACCATGCTGGGGCTGCAGTAGCCCTGCACCATCAGGCAGAGCCCTGGCTTTGCCTCAAAGTAACTTTACCATCTACAGAAGCCCTTAATATATAGTAAAACAAGTTTCCTGCCACATAAAGCTTATAATGTAAGTAGACAATGCGCAAAATGGTAGAAAGAACAAGACATTTTTTAAATAAAGAGGCTCAAAAGAGCCCTGATAAAAATTTAATAACTTTCTTCCCAAACTTACATTTTATTTCTTCACATACATTTTTTTAAACTGTCTACCCATTTATCTAGGCATTTTGTATTAAATTTAATATACAAATGAGAAAAGATTATGAATAAGAGACTGTTACTAAACTATATTTTAGTTCAATCAGTATTTGTTTATAAGTTCAGCATCCTTAGGAACAGCCCATGCAGTATAAGATTCTCCAGTCACAGACGCCATAGGAAAAGTTATTAAAATTTTCAACAGAATAAAATAAGATTTTAAAAATATACATAAAACAAGCACTCGAGTGCAAAAAATACAACTATGTTTTCAAGCCCACCTCATCAATGCTACCTCCATATACTTCATCTGTGCTGACATAAATGAACTTCTCCACACAGGCTTCATATGCAGCTGTGACCAAAACATGAGTGCCATAAACATTCACATAGGTGAATTCCAGAGTACGCCAAAATGAAAGATCTGTAACAGAACGAGTGGCTTAGAATGTAATCTCTCTAGGATAGAGAATGGAAAAAAGTTTTCCATTCAGGCACTGAAGACCTTAAAAAGATTATCTGACATAAAAATGAGCAGGGGCTCATGAGGCACTGTGGTGATGAGAGTATTCAATGGGGTTTTAACTTGAGTTACTTGACTGTCAATTAACATGACCATAAAGGCAAATATAGAAATTCCCCGTATTTGCGCCAAGACAAATTTTGTACCTGCTATTGAACCATAACCAATTTGAGGGTGAACTACAACCAGGAATGAATGTTTGCGGAGTACTTATATTTGCCTTTATAGAAGAGTTAACTAAGTTAAATGGTAACTCAAGTGAATTTACTTTAACACAGCCAGGCCTAACAAAAGGCCTAACTCAAGTATGCTATAAGTATAGATTGAAATAAACTATCCAAACATTAATTTATTATTACTGAAACATTAGTTTTAACAACTCATTACATAAGACACTAAAACTAACTGAAAGAAGTCACATTAAAACCTTGATGCTTGCAAGTTTTACTTCCCAACTTTGTACTATGTGCATATGTAACTATTTTCTGGAGCATTTTTCAGGAAAAAATTGTTATTGATGTGCATGAACACCTAAAAAAACCCAGCATTAACACACTACAATAGAAAAATTAAGTATTTAAGCATGAAAACAGAGTTAGGTTGAACACTCAACCTTAACTGCATCCTCTTTTCAATTAGCCTTTTATGGTATTCATATTTGCTAGCCTAGTAAACACAAGTTGGAAATCTCTTAGTAGCCCTTGTGTGTGTTGGTTCTCTTTTGTTTTCTTGCTCATATATGATAGCCAGACAGATGAATAGTGTTAAAGACTACTTCAAACCTGGCATTATAACAATGTTACAATTTTTTAGATTTGTAATGCTCCACCATTTACACTTTTATCTATTACAAATTATTGTATCAATAGTCCCATCTGGTGTGCAGGGTTCAAGAACAACTGTTCCCTATAGAAGAGGAAGAAATGACAAAGGAATATTCTTAAAATTGTTTCTCCAAGAAAGAAGCTAACAAAAGTTAAAATTTCATGTAGGAGCCCTGGATTACCAGTTTTCACATCTGAGTTCAGGGCAAAAAGGATATCACCCAACCTGAAGTTCCATGAATGACTTTACACTAAATCTGATATTTTCAGACAGTGAAATGCAATCTAAATGTTGTGGGAAAAAAAGTTCAGAATAAAAAAAGCCAGGCTTTTGTAATAAAGATGTACAATGTATTGTACATGGGGGGGGAGGGGGGTGGAGTGAGGCGGAGGAGAAAGCAGCATTGATGCAACCTTTTAACGGCCTAGTCTGAAAAACTGGCAGTGCAAGAAACAACATTTGAATGAAAATTTCAGTCTAATGATACAAAGCTTTCCTTCTAGTCATTAAGGTCCTGTGATTCTTAACTTTAAATCTATTATGGACAAAAAATGAACTGTGCCCTGAACTTAATACCTGCACAATTTCTTTTGGGGAAATGAGGAGGGATCGGGGGGCTTGGGGAGTAAGAAAAAGGGTAAAGAAATATTTTTTTCTACCTGGCAGCTTTTAAGAAAATAGACGATGTCTGAAATTGCTTCACTTGGAATTATAGTAGCAGTACCAATGAAGATGAATTATTGTGCGGCATGAAGGTAATGGCAGTTTAAAAAGTCCTTTGAATAATGGAATTTATCATATTGATGCCCTCTGTTGACAATTCCATTGAATAATGTTAGTTTATATTTAGGCACTTAAAGGTAAATTTAAAAAAAAATCTTTTAGAGTTTAGCACTTTCCTGGATGTTAACATTATTCATTGATTTCCATGGTAATTGCACATCTGCTTCAGACAACAATCAGGGTGAGTCTAGACTACACCCCTCTTTCGACAGAGGGATGTAAATTAGGCACTTCGAAATTACAAATGAAGCCGGGATTTGAATTTCCCATGCTTCATTTGCATAATCGCGTCATGGCACTCTTTCAAAAAAGTGCTGTTTCGAAAATAAAACTGCAGTCTAGACACGGTTTGTCGAAAAGGGAAGGCTTTTTTGAGGAACAGCTAGCCAAAAACTCAAAAAGAAATATCAAAATATTTTTTAAGTACATTAGAAGCAGAAAGCCCACTAAAAAACCTGTGGGTCCCCATGACAACTGAGATATAAAAGGAGCAATCAAGAATGATAAAACCATTGAGGAGAAACTAAATGATTTCTTTGCTTCAGTCTTCACGGCTGAGGACATTAGGGAGATTCCCAAATCTGCACCATCCTTTGTGGGGAATGAGTCTGAGGAACTGTCCCAGATTGAAGAGTCATTAGAGTAGGTTTTGGAACAAATAGGAAAAACTTAATGTCAACAAATCTCCGGGACCAGATGGCATTCATCCAAGGGTTCTAAAAGAACTCAAATGGGAAATTGCTGAACTATTATCTGTGGTTTGTAACCTATCCTTTAAATCGGCTTCCGTACCTAATGACTGGAAGGTAGCCAACGTGACACCAATATTTAAAAAGGGCTCTAGTGGCGATCCTGGCAATTACAGACTGGTAAGTCTAACTTCAGTACCGGGCAAATTAGTCGAAACAATAGTAAGGAATAAAATTGTGAGGCACGTAGAAGAACATAATTTGTTAGACAAAAGTCGACAAAAGTAAAGGGAAATCCTGTCTTACTAATCTATTAGAGTTCTTTGAAGGGGTTAAACATGCAGACAAGGGGGATCCAGTAGATATAGTATACTTAGATTTTCAGAAAGTCTTTGACAAGGTCCCTCACCAAAGGCTCTTGTGTAAATTACATGGCCATGGGATAAGAGGGAAGGTCTTTTCTTGGATTGAGAACTGGTTAAAAGACAGGAAACAAAGGGTAGGAATAAATGGTAAATTTTCAGATTGGAGAGGGATAACTAGTGGTGTCCCCCAAAGGTCAGTCCTGGGATCAATCCTTTTCAACTTACTGATAAATGATCTGGAGAAAGGTAAGCAGTGAGGTGGTAAAGTTTGTGGATGATACCAAACTGTTTAGGATAGTCAAGACAGAAGCAGACTGTGAGGGACTCCAAAAAGATCTCACCAAAAGTGATTGGACAACAAAATGGCAAATGAAATTTAATGTGGATAAGTGTAAAGTAATGCACATCGGGGAAAATGATAAGAGGTATATAAAAATCAAGAGTGGTGTGGAGATGGCGGATAAAGAAAAGTTATTTATTAGTTCCCATAATAGAAGAACTTGAGGACACCAAATGAAATTAATGGGTAGCAGGTTTAAAACTAATAAAAGAAAGTTCTTCTTCACACAGCGTGTAGTCAACCTGTGGTACTCCTTACCAGAGGAGGCTGTGAAAGCTAGGACTATAACAGAGTTTAAAGAGAAGCTAGATAATTTCATGGAGGTTTGGTCCATAAAAGGCTATTAGCCAGGGGATAAAATGGTGTCCTTGGCCTCTGTTTGTCAGAAGCTGGAGAAGAATGGCAGGGAACAAATCACTTGATCATTGTCTTCGGTCCACCCTCTCTGGGGTACCTGGTGTTGGCCACTGTCGGCAGACAGGCTACTGGGCTAGATGGACCTTTGATCTGACCCAGTATGGCTGTTCTTATGAAAGATCCTGTAAACCTCAAAAAATGAGGGATGTAATCTAGACACACCCTGTTGAAAGAGGGATGTAGTCTAGACACACCCTTAGAACCTAAGAAGAAAAGAAGTGTAATGGCATACTACTCATTAAGGTTCAGAGGGATGCAAAAAAAAAACCACACAACCCACTAACAATGAGCATCATGAGATGGTAGTTAGCTATATTTTGCAGGTCTTTAGCTTATGGATAAAATTTGTTTTTAAAACTACTCCCTAGCTGGGACTTCTCAACACCTAGTTTCTGCCTTGGGGCGCCTTTTTTTTTTGGGGGGGGGGGGGGCACTGAACTGTAAATCCCTGAAAAGAGATTTATAATGGAAATGTTGACAAACCCCAATTCTTAACCATGCTACTTTTTGTTGATACAGACAATTTTGGTTGTTCAGTAGTATGAAGGCAACAGGAATGAAAACAGCAACAACAGGAATAGATTACTTGTTTAAATAAATCTAGTAGATGTATTACAATTACAACATGCAACAGTGCTCACCTACATGGGTTTGTGCTGCAAAATGTAGAACTATATCAATTTTCTCAGTTTCAAAAAGTAGTTTTATAAAATGGGGTTCACAAATGTCACCCTAAAGAGAAAAAACAATTAGATTAAAACATAGCAATCCATCAGTTTTTGATAATGGAGTCATGATTCTTAATTGTACCACATTTTATCTATAATGTAAAAACAGCATAGAGCAGTGGTCTCCAACCTTTTTAAGCACAAGATCACTTTTTCAATTTAAGTGCAATGTAAGATCTACCTCAAACCCAAATAACCTTGCCCCACTTCCTTCCTGCCCCTTCTTTGATGCCCCATCCCTGCTCCATACCTTCTCTGCAGCCTCACCCTGCTCATTCCATCTCCCTTCCTCTCCCCATCCTTACTCACTTTCACCAGGGTGGGTAAGGGGTTTGGGTGCAGGCTCTGGTCTTGGGCCACATGGTTTGGCGTGTGAGAGGAGCTCCGGGCTTAGCCCAGGGTGGAGGCCTGGGGTCCAGGAGAAGTTTCAGAGTGCAAGCTCTGGGAAGGAATTTGGGACTCACGTCTGGGACAGGAGGTTGCATGCTGGAGGACATTCAGAGATGGAACAGGGGTTCAGGAAGCAGGCTCTGGTTGGACACCATTTGACTAAGATGGCTTCTGGGTGGTGAAGCAGTGGAGTTAAGGCAGGCTTACTCCTGCCCTGGTCCTGAACCACTCCTGAAAGCAGTGGGCATGTACAGCAATGGCTCCATGGCACCATGTACTGCCCCTCAGCTACAGGGACTGAGCCCACAGCTTCTAGTGGTCACTGTTCCCCATTATTGATCAAAGGGAGCTGCAGAAGTGAGGTCTGCAGGCAAAAGACCCCGTGCTCTGCCTCTCTCAGGGGCTGCAGGGATATGCCTGCTGCTTCCAGGAGCAGCAATTACCACAGGGGTAGTGACTCCAGCCACAACAAGTTATGCATTTTAGAACTCACTACTCAAGGAATTACATTTAAACATGACAGAGAAATGAAAATTATGAAATGCACAGGCCAGTCAAAAACCAAAACTAACCCACTTTGCAAGCAGTAAAAAAAGTAACAATAACCCCCCACATGTGTGTTGGGTCAGGAAATGAGAGTAAATGACAGTGTGTGTTTGTGAGAATGACAGACACACAACCCAGACAGTGTGAGACAATCACAGAGATCTGCATTGCCAAGCTCCCTCCATCCCCTTCTCTCTGTGTGGGACTCCCTGACATCAGCACCCCCTCTTCTCCCTCCCACACCCTGTACAGCAAGCAGGAGGCTCCCGGGGGGGGGGGGGGGGGGAGGAAGCTCCAAGGCAGAGGGCAGGAGCAGCATGACAGTGGGTGAAGGGGCAACTGAAGTGCCAGCGCTTGATAGCTTCCTGGCCAAAGCAATCACAATAACCTGTCAGAGGCTCCAAGATCTACTAGTACATCCTGATCTACTGGTTGGTGACCACTAGCATAGAGTCTGTTTTGTTCATTTTATCTGTGACTATATGCAAGACTGCATTCCTGTTGATTACTTGTATACTACCATGTTAGTCTAGGTTTATTGAATAGCTTATATAAAAATATATTGCAAGGTAATCAAAAGAGCTAAGTTATGTAGCACTTATATAAAAGTAGTGCCACCTCAATGACTCATCAGCATGAATAAGGGCTTTACAATTTGGCTCAGAATTATGAAGAATGCACTATTTCGCATTGCCACCTATCTTGTAAAAATACACTCTAAATTAGGGATGTAAATGAGTAATCAAATAGTAACCTGGCAAGCATCACTGTGGCTGGCGAGAGGGCTGCTCCAACCTGCTCCCATTTAACCAGTTAACGAATTAAACAAGATTTTACATCCCTACTCTAAATCTTCTACCACACTCTCTGGCTATCCTGAATTAAAGGTCTTAAATTATAGTTGGGAATTTTTTAACTGGAAACTTACATATCTCATGAAAAAGTATTTTTCTGAATAGGTTTAAGGGAATGGAGAGCAGGATGATGAAAGATTCCATTTCCGTTAATACAGTTCCTCTTTCTCCTCACACCAAATTTTAATTCTGGATGTAAACACATGACCTTGACAGCTGCACTCCCATCCACCAATATATGCCTAACTCGCTCTTCAAATAACAAGGCACTTGTTCTCCAACCAAAAGCTGTGTCGGTTGCCTAATTAGGTCATGCACTGTTCAATTTGTAATACCATATAACACAACTCCTATGATTTTATGGTTAAAAATTAATGAGGGAAGATTGCATAGAAACTGATTCTACTGTTGATACTTACAATAAACTGATAAAATAAACTCCCAAATAATGTTCAAAAGTAATTCAGTTCCCTGATCACATTTTACAGCTAAAAGCACAAAACACTGGATAATCTTCATACTTACAGATCAAACTAGCCATGTAGCAGAAATGTAACTTTAAACAGCAGAGGACCATTAATTGAATAAAATGCATATTAAAAAGTAAATCTCAGGTTATTTCCCTCACTGCCCCAAACCAAAAGCTTCCTTGTCAGAACAAGCTGCTGTCAATAAATAATTTTTAAATTATACAGAATAAATATTAAATGAGCAAAAGCAAGAGCAACTGTCAGTCTATTAGAAAATACTGCAGAAATTACATCTTTGCAATTACCTAATTAATGTACTTCAGCACTTACATTACTACATTCCTAAATTAATATGCATTTTCATTAATTGGAATGTGAACTATCAGAGAAACAGCAAGTAAAAAAACTCCCCCATGAAACAATCTACGTGAAGTCATAATTTGTGAACTAAGTCACGGGGTCAAAAGTTCTGTTATTTGAAAGAATATGAAAAAGTTAATTAAACAAATTAAGACAATCCATGTGAAAAAGAAAATGCAATCTTCAATGAACAAGCAAAAACGCTGTTAAAAATAAAGAAAAGAACACACTCACTTTTTAAAAATTATTCAAAAACCTATGCTTTTCTGTAGTTTAGACATTAAGATTCTGATTTTCCTCTGTGATTAAGTTTTAGATAGAGTACATCTACCCCTAAAAATAAGGAAATATAAATGTACTTCATGCTTTTCAAGCAAGGCTCTCTAATGTATTAAGAATAATTTTTTTGTTTGTTTTTAGGTTTTGGATTATTTATTTATACTATCCATTCAATATGGAACTAAATTATCTTCAATAAAAAATTAATAAATATCTCCAAATATCTTTGGACCTCCCAAATCTGGGACACCCTGGTCCGGCAACATCTGTGGGCCAGCAGGGCCATGGACGTTGCTTCACCAAAGAGCCTGGGAGATGGGAGTTGGAGCCAGCTGAGAGAACCCCAGAGGCTGGACCAGCAGCAGCTGGACCAGGCAGCGGCCGGGAGAACTTCCACCCCAGCGAGGTACCTCAGCTGCACCAGGTAACTAGGGAATCCCAGCCCCAGCTGGGGAACCCCCAACTACAGTGAGGTTTCTGGTGGCAGGCGCAGCCCCAGACAGAAACCCCTGATAGCAGCAGGGCCCCGGTTGGTAAACCCCAGCGGAGCAAAGTGTGGCCGGATGGTCCCAGCCATGAAAATCCCAGTGGCAGTGGGGCTGGTGGCAGCGGAGACCCCAGGGAACACTGTGTGGCAATGCGGCTGGCAATGGCCAGGCTGTCCTGGCCATGGCCAGGCTGTCCTGGCCAGAAACCCAGGGGGAACATGGGGCAGCGTGTGGGCAGCAGGGTGGGGAGCCCAGGCCAGGGCTGGGGTTCTCTAGCATTAGTGGAGCCAAGGGCAGGAAGCCCCAAGGAGAGGAGCTGTCCGGCAAACTCCCTGATTCAGGACAACTCGGTTCCCAAGGATACCGAACCAGAAAGGTCCAATCTGTATTAGCATCCAAGCTATTTAAAAGTTTTAGCTATACTATATATAAAAACCACGAATTGTTATGAATAATATGTGACTGAACAGTGACACCTAGTGTAAAAATGGAAGATTATCTGAAGAGAATTCTAGGATCTAGTGAGTCCACAGTTTTGGGTAACCGACTGGTTGGCAATAGTTCCAATAATGTAACTATTCTGTATTTATCTTTGCACTGAGAAAAAAAAACACACACACACACACACACACACACACAAAGGAAGAACTAGGTTAACATCTTCCCACCTTAAAGCTAAAACACATTCTTTAAATGCTCTTTAAAGTGCATGAGTATTACAGTAGACTTCCGATAATCCGGAACCTATGGGACCTAGATGGTGCTTGATTATCAGATATGCCGGACTATCAGGAGGTACTATAAACTGGTTTTATTTATATAATTATATACTGTATACATTATATACTGTAAATGAAGTGTTCTTAACCCTTTTTATTGTACATACTGTATACAGTATACCGTAATGTTTTAGTTTTTTTAAGCCTTTTTTTACCCTTTTTGCTCAGTTCAGCTGCTGCTGCTACCTTGTGACTCATTTTTTGCCGAAGCTCACTCACTAGGCTGGACTATTGGATGCCGGACTATTGGATGCCGGACTATTGGATGCCGGACTATTGGATGCCGGACTATTGGAGTTTTACTGTACTCAGTCTTTGTTACCAAAGGTTCCTGGATTTTTGATAACTCGATTGTAGATTGTTGAGTTCCTATTTTTTACACAAACCCGTGCATTTGCAAAAACAGGTAAAAGATTTAAAATAATGTGTTCCTTATTGTGCCAAGAAATACACCCGCTATTCATGAAGTTACCCCAAAAGTTACAAGAGTAAAACAAAGATAATTCATCATGATTCAGAGGCTTGATTATAGACTAAAAGTTAGAATTTAATTATGTATTACAGTTTTTGAGGAGTTACCCCATGAGTCGGTGGCACTAAAAGCAGAAGAGAAAGAGAGAACCCCCAAATCTGGTCTCAGTTCTGGAGAACCCTAGATGTAAAAGCTGTTAGTTTGCTTCTAAAAAGTCCATACCTGAATAAACTTGTAGTTTTGCTTCTCTGAAATGGTTTCAAGATTCTTCAAGCTTGCACAATAGTCCAGCTTAAAGGGGAAAAAACCAGAATATTAGTACATAGGATGAGTTTTCTTGAAAGATTCTTATTAGATCCTACTTATTTACTGAGAAAGTCTCTAACAATCTTGAGGAAATGGTGCTAAGATTATTATTTAAAATTGATCTGCTCTGATTAAAAGGTGCATTGTGTCATTATCTAGTAACTGAAAAAAAAATCTAGCAATAAGTCAGTTAAACAACATTTTAGAGTCCTAGTCCCGCAGAATTGATCCATTTGCTCAAACTCACTTTGTTGATAAAATAGTTCTCTGATATCCTTTGGCAGCCAAAACAGATGATTGTGAGATGGGCAAATAAAAATGAGAAATGATTGAAATCTACCAAAACAGACATTTTCAGACAAAATAGAGAAGGGGAAAAAAAGGAAGTTGTCAGCTGAGCTATCTTTAAATGAAATTTTCTCTTAATCTTTCAGATATCATCTGATTTCAAAAAGTAGCTGAAAACTAGATTATCCAAAGATTTCAAAAGAGCTTGTTATTATTCAATGGATACATCCCTGGCAAGTCACAGGTTACATAATCAAATTTGTACAAAAATTCCCAGAGGTATCTAAATAAGTTTAGAGCATAATTGGTTAATATTGTAACTCCAAGGCCTATTAGTGACTTCAAGTATTTTTAGGCAAAGGAGCACAGAAAGTTAAATGTTTTGACTAGTCACAATATTATTTCTGCTTCCCTAATAATGGAAGTGCAAAAGAACTTGCGGGGATGAAGATTCTGTAAAAATTTTGCTCTGAGGATTACCTTAGTAATCCTGCAGGTTTTAGTAATTATGTTTGATGAGACCTGCAACTGAGCAACTTTTATTCTAGCCCAGTGGCTCTCAGACTTTCCAGACTACTGTACCCCTTTCAGGAGTCTGTTTTGTCTTGTATATCCCCAATTTACACATAACGTAAAACTACTTGCTTATAAAAATCAGATATAAAAATACAAGTGTCTCAAGCACACTGTTACTGACAAATTACTTACTTTCTTATTTTTACTATAAAATACATTGAAATGTAAATACTGTACTTACATTTCAGTGCATAGTATATATAGCAATATACACAAGTTGTTTGTATAAAATTTTAGTTTGTATTAACTCGGCTAGTTCTTTTTATGTAGCCTGTTACAAAACTAGACAAATAGCTAGATAAGCTGATGTATCCCAAGGGAAACATGTTCCCCCTGGTTGAGAACCACTGTCTAACCAATCAAGTTGGCTGGAGTAGGTGTTTCAAACTCACTGACAAAAGCATGACATGGCTGGGAAGCAGATTTGAAACTCATGGCTACTCCAAATAAAAACACTTTGTTTCATTAGCATTAAGGTATGAAAAATAAAGAACATGTTAACGGAACTGAGGTGGGCTTCAAGAACTGGGCTTTGGATCTGGCTCTAAATTAGTACATAAAACATACCAACAAACCAATTTTGATTTTACAAAATTAAAAATCCAATGTAAAGTTTTCCACATCAAGCAAACTCTCAACATACCGTATGTTAACTGATTCGGATTTTTTTTCTCTCTAAAGAAATGTGAAATAAACACAAAAACTTACCTTATCTAGATTTATAATAAGATAGTTGGGATAGTTTTCTACAAGAGACACAACCACATGTGATGCACTGCAGGTTTAAAAAAAAAGAATAATTTTGTTATAAATTATATAGGCAACTTTAGGATACCAGATGCTTACAGACAAAACACTAGTTGACACAAAAGAACCTGATTTTTTAAATTTGAAAATGTTGCTTTTTGTTGTCCTTTTCATAAGCACGTAATATTAGTGAATTAATAAATAGAGAAATAAATTTATTCTATACAGTTTTGCTGTGCTAGTCACCTTACTAATCAATAAGATCATCTCTGGTGTTAAAATTCCATAGTTTTCTAAGATAAGCATATCTTTGGCCTGAATTCTGCAAATATTTATATATGGCCTTAAAATTTACAGGTATATGGTTCTACTACATCAAATTAACCACATGACTCTTGGCAAGTTTGGCATCTGTGTATAAAAAGTGTTTTAACTGGTTTAAGGTAGAGAGTTGATCCATCCACTGCTACACCAGTAGAATCTCAGTGATCTGTGCTTCAACACTCAACTGTAAACCCCCACCTGTTTTCACTTACTATGGTTTTGTTCACACATTACATTAGTTGCTACACCAAAGCACATTTCAGAATTTATTTTTGTGCATTTTTCTCTGTATCTGAATTGGTCAATTATGGCAAAAAGAGAAATGCATAACACATGGAGCCCCATGCATCTGGTTAGTAAATCTAGCAGCTTCAGATGCTCCTGCGCAGAAGGGAGAATATCTGGGCACACAGAGCCCCAATATGAAGAGAAAGGAGAAAACTGGAACCTTGCATATAATTCCCACATATCCTCAAGCTTCCTGTGGACCATCCTCACATCCCTTGTTTCAGAGACTCATCAACTCTGCTCACTCACCCCTCATTAAGGGGCTCCTTGTGTCACCCCCATATTTCCCTCCACAAGGATGTTAAAATGTGGTTATTTTCCTGAGTAGTTGTTAGATTTTTTTATTGATTATTGTACTTGAATGGTCAATGGGAGTAGGCAGTTCCAGCACGCAGTCTGGCTCGAGCTGATCCCAGCATAACTTCTGCCACTGCTGCTCCGCATTGCAAGGGACAGGTGAGCCAGTGCGCAAAGACACTGGCTCAGTTCCTATTCCTGCAGGTCTCTGAAGTTTGATCAGAAACTGTGGGAACAGGGACTGAACCAGCAACTTCGCACACCAGCTCCCCTGTCCCTTAATATTGCAGAGCCACCGTGAGGGGAGGCGATGCGACTAGTCAATAGTGCTAACCGATAAGCTCCTGCTTATTGGTAAGCCGACTAGTCACTTACATGCCTACTCCACCATACTTCTATTATTTCTCTAAGTCAGGGGTCCGGTATGCCCCTCCTTGTCTTCTCCTACTACAGTTCTCCATTCTTTCCCCCCAGTCTCTTTTATCAATTTCCATGTGCTGAGGTCAATGTGCCTCCCATTCAAGGGTCCGCTATTCTCTTTGCCATGCCCTTCTTTCCCCATGTCTCCAAATAATTCTTATTTTTGTTTCTGTCTTGAAAATAAGTCATCAGGTTGTCAATCCTTTCCAATTATTAGGACGAACAGAACTGAGATGGGAGGTATTATGCTGGAAGCTTTTATTTACAAGGGATGTTAGATGTCGTTTAATAGTCATGTGACCACATCAAATCTTAATTGTTACACGATTATTCAATGGTACCGGGGGGGCCGAACCGGTAGCCAGTGCACTAACAGCCCCACTCCCAGGAGCCTCCTGCCATCCCATGCTGCTGCCTCTGGATCGGAGGCAGCAGCACAGGATGGCATCAGCCCCTACCTGTGGGGGGTTCAAGCTCTCCACAGACTGACGCTGTGCCGGCATCCCACGGAGGGGCCTCTGTTCGCAGTGAGCCCGGGCCATGGCAGACAGAGGCTGCTCTGGCATCCCACCGGCCATCTCCTGCGCTCAATACCCCCCTCCCCTCACCCCCGGCAGGGGCAGCTCCGCAAAGCTGGTGGTTGTGGGGAGCCAGCAGCTCTGGCTGGTGTCTGATACTCCTCCTTTGGCATATAAAATGAATAGTACCAAGAAAATTAATAAGGAAGTGTTATCAGTATCGGATTAAAGGATAAACTAACAAAGCTACATCTTAGAGCCTCACAATAGAAGGGACCTCTAAAGAAAAAAACTGACTTCATTTCAAATGTTATCAAAATTGGTTGTTAAGAAGATATTGGTTGTTAAGAAGATATGGGAGAAACAAGATTATCTCTAAATACATACATTTTCATTCAAATATGACAAAGATATACACATCTGGCTACACCAGTACCTTTACCCTTCAGCTGAGGACTGAGAAAAAAAGATAATTGAACTTATAAAATTAGGGTAAGTTTGCTAAGACTACAAGACTCCTAAGGCAGAGATTTGTTGGTCAGCTGTTACTGGTAAACTCTGACCATGCCTTCATAACTTCACTGATGATAAAATTGTGAAAATTTGAGATCGGAGAGGGCAGTATCGTGAAGCAATATTGGCAAGCTTATAATCATCTTTTAGTGTGTTCTTTTTTCTTTTGACCTGTACATATGTGCAACTGTGTATTTTAGTGTTCGTGCTGCTTTCTGTGAAAGAAATATTAAATTTATGAGGTAATTAGTATAAACCCATTGTCCCTTCAACTTGGTAAAGAAAGCAGAATGGAGCTTTTGTAATAAAGGGCCACTAAACTGAACAGGTAACTACTTCTATTTAGGGATGCAAAAGTGTAAATGCTTAAACGGGTATTTGATTAACAACAGCTTATTGGTTTCCATTACAGTTACACACTGGCTGCTGACTCCACACCCAGGGAGCCGGCTTTGCTGCTGCCTCTTCAGTATAACGGTTATGCTGCAGAGCCCTCAGTGCAATCAGCTCCCTAGGAGTGGGGCTGGGAGCTAGTTTATAAGCCAGCTCCTGGTGCACACAGACTCCCCGCACCACTCCCATGGAAGTCTGCAGTGCATGTAACCACTAGGAGTTTTAGTGGTTACATAGTTACATTTTTAAAACTATTTTTACATACTTACTTCTGTCTAAAACTGTTTGCTTACTGCTGATATCTACGACTAAGAGAATGTCAGTTAGGATTGCAGAAGTCACGGATTTCATGACTTCCAGAGACCTGTCTGACATTTTCCATAGCAGTCCTGAGCAGCTGTGGACAGCAGGTGCTGCCTTGCACCTCTCATGCAAGGCTTGGGCAAGCATCCCCCTATCAGTTCCACTGTATCAGTTATTTGTATTACATTCTGAACCAAGTCACAAATTTTTAGAATCATAGAATACTAGGACTGGAAGGGACCTTGAGAGGTCATTGAGTCCAGTCCCCTTCCCTCATAGCAGGACCAAATACTGTCTATCCCTGATAGACATTTATCTAACCTAGTCTTAAATATCTCCAGAGACGGAGATTCCACAACCTCCCTGGGCAATTTATTTCAGTGTCTGACTACCCTGACAATTAGGAACTTTTTCCTAATGTCCAACCTAAACCTCCCTTGCTGCAGTTTAAGCCCACTGCTTCTTGTTCTATCCTCAGAGGCCAAGATGAACAAGTTTTCTCCCTCCTCCTTATGACACCCTTTTAGATACCTGAAAACTGCTATCATGTCCCTCAATCTTCTCTTTTCTAAACTAAACAAACCCAATTCCTTCAGTCTTCCCTCATAGGTCATGTTCTCTAAACCTTTAATCATTCTCGTTGCTCTTCTCTGGATTCTCTCCAATTTCTCCACATCTTTCTTGAAATGCAGAGCCCAGAAATGGACACAATACTCCAACTGAGACCTAACCAGCGCAGAGTAGAGCGGAAGAATGACTTCTCGTGTCTTGCTCACATCTGTTAATGCATCCCAGAATCATGTTTGCTTTCTTTGCAACAGCATCACACTGTTGACTCATATTCAACTTGTGGTCCACTATAACCCCTAGATCCCTTTCTGCCGTACTCCTTCCCAGACTGTCTCTTCCCATTCAGTATGCGTGAAACTGATTGTTCCTTCCTAAGTGGAGCACTTTGCATTTGTCTTTATTAAACTTCATCCTATTTACCGCAGACCATTTCTCCAATGTGTCCAGATCATTTTGAATTATGACCCTATCCTCCAGATTAGTCACAATCCCTCCCAGCTTGGTATCATCTGCAAACTTAATAAGCGTACTTTCTATACCAATATCTAAATCATTGATAAAGATATTGAACAGAACTGGCCCCAAAACAGACCCCTGCGGAACCCCACTTGTTATGCCTTTCCAGCGGGATTGTGAACCATTTTATGAAGTTTTGGTTTCTCTCCGACTTCCACTAAAATAATGGTGACAAAAATCTAAGCCTGACTTACGACAACATCAGGAAGGCTGATCAGAAAAAGAAACCTAAAGTTTCAACCCTGCCATTTCCTAGCTCACCTGACGTGCAGCTAGGCGGCCTCCTGCTGAGCCCCCGCCGGCCCTGACCGTGTGCAGGGTCTGTCGGCAGCTGCGCCTTCCCCCGGCCAAGAGAACGGCACCTCGGAGCAGGGAAAGTGCGGGGCCGCCGAGGCGGCCCAGCC